CTAGTGATTGCTCTTTTAAAGGATCTGGAGCTAGAGTTGTATTCTGTTTTGAGAATATTGGCGTTAGGACTATTCGATGCAATCGCGTCAACCCAAGCTTGGTAGCAGGCCTGCTTACGACGTGATGCCGTTCTACAGGGCCGATCAAACCAGGGCTGTGACTTGCCGCCGATGGGTACCACAGAGCTAGGAATAAATAGTTCCATACCCTGAAGCACGACATCAGCGACAGATACGGCACATACATCAGGGTCATTCTCCTTAAAACAAACTCCATTCCAGGGGTAGGACGCAAAGAAGGTCCGCATCCCATCCCAGTCCGCTGACCTATAGTGCCACACGCGACGACTACCTGCACATCGCGGCCTAGGGGAGCGTGTAATCGGCACTGTACTCCAGATGAGGCAGTGGTCAGAAGAGCCTATAGGGGCATCAACATGCACTTCGTAGCCTTCTGGATGCGAGGTCAGCAGAAGATCCAACAGTGAAGGCGTGTGATCATTCACATCTGGCACCCTCGTAGGCGATGTCACCAATTGAGTGAGATCATTGGCTAAAGCAAAGTCGTGAAAAGACCTCCCTGCATGGTCAGTTGTTCTTGACGCAAGCCATTCGGCATGATGAGCATTAAAATCGCCAAGAATGACAATTTCAGTCGAGGGGATCTGTTGGAGAGTTAAATCTGCGGTCATTTGGACTTGCTCAATAAGCCGGTCTGTCTCTGCGTTCCCGCTGTGGGACCTATAAAGATACCCATAGACGCGTGGGTGGTCTTCGCAGTCTACACGTATCCAAACTATAGATAGGTCCGAACCTTCAGTGAAGTCAAGGCGACGGTAGCAGATATCGTCTCGAATGTATACACATACCCCGGCACGAGGCAAAAAATTGTGTTCCATGGAGTAACCAGGGTATCGGAGGTAGGAGATGTCGGCCGGAGACGATATCTGGGTTTCGGTAAGAAATAGAAGGGCCGGCTTGGCCGCCTCGAGATGGTAGTGGACGGCGTTGATATTAGAATGTAGCCCCCTAATGTTACAGAAATCTACTCTGAGCATCCTGCGACCTCGGACAGAGGTATTGAGCGGGGTATTGCCCCCCCCAGAATACGAGGGGCAGCCTGAAACAGAGTTTGCAGGGAGGGATTCTCCGATGCCAATCGCGTCGGTACCCTCCTGGGGTAGTTTATTTTTATACACCGCTACCATTTTGAGAGAGTTTGGGAAGGGAATTGGCTGAAAGAAAAAATGGATACTCCCTCCAACCAATTCAGAAAATGGGCCTCCGGAACTCCCATTTACCGTACGAAACGCAATAGCATCTCTGACGAGATACTATTACTTAACGCCGATTTTCTATGGGAGGGTGGTACCGCCCCGGTGCGAGCCGGCCCAATTAGCCTTACGGCATGGCTCTACCACCTAAAAAAATGGTTTTGTGTTTAAAGAGACGACATATATATTTCTTTGTATCATGGATGATATGTTGTTACCATTATATGTATGCTACGAAAGGTTACAAATAAGTTTCCGGCCTGTTTTTTTTTCTTTGTATAAAAATATTAATAATTTTTGATATTATTTTCTCCATATATGTATATAAAATTCTTAACGATACGAGACAATTATTTTTATTTTTTAATGATGTTAGTAAAATGATATAATAATATACAATAACAATAATATTATAAAGATTGAACTTTGAAATTGAAATTGATTGTTGTAACTTACTAAAATATTTTAAATAAACATGTTTCGTATTCCAAGAACACATTGAAACAGTGTTTAAAGAAAAATGATAGATATAAACAACGCAATACTGTATGAAAGTTTGTAAAAAATATTACATCGTGAAAGTAAATACGTTTAATTTCTACAAGTAACTTCAATAAAATAAAATTTTAATACATTCTAAAAAAATAATAGTTTCATATGTATGTAGTTCCTTTAAAATTTATATCTTGAACTAATATAACGCATTATTTTAACAATATTCTTTGTAAACATTAAATCAATGTTTTAATTTAATTTTTTATTCGTGAATGCATGGCTAAGTAGCTATGTACGAGTATATATGGGGTTTATTACAAATTCGTTGTTTTTAAACAGAGAGACGCCAGCCTCGTGGACATCACTAATGTCACTTGAACTTCCAGTATGTTCCATTTTATTTTAAAATGAAACTTCAATTGTTCTTGTATTTCTCGAAGGTTCTTCATAATCACTTTCTTGAAAGGTCTTCATTCACTGAACTCTGCCATCGTGCGTCCAGACCTCATATTTATACCAAGATTCAAACATAGTTCAATTTTCCATTTACACAGTCTTTGAATTTTTATAATAAATGATGAGAGGCTCATTTCATGTTTCATCAGTTGTTAAAGCTGATAGCGATATTTATTACTATACTCGTTCGTTTTATTAACGATGAGACAAATATTAAAAATATATTGAATATGAAAGGGCACAAAAAAACCATGAACAGTAAATATCACAGCCATTCTATTGTATTGACATAAATATAAGTTAATTTAATAAGTATTAAATAAACAAAGTTTGTAAACACCAGTGTAACTATTTATTTTAATTTAGAAAAAATAGTAAAAAATGTCAAACAATTCATATGGGAAAGAAATGTTTCAATATTAAAGCTTTCTATTAGTTTTTATATTTTATTATAAAGAAAACAATTTGACGCTTGCAGTACTAATAAGAAATATGAATTAAAATAAATTGTAATGTTTGATTCCCCTTGTATAAGAAGAAGCTATTAATATGGATATTGGAATAATTCAAACAATATTAATAGTCACAAAAACCTCCAATAAATAGAATATTAAACATTTTATGACGAGACAAATTACATTGATGTCCTAACCATTAGTCAAATTAATGTACGACAAATGTAAATATCGTTTAAAATAAAATATTTTTTGTGAAGATATTATTAACGGCGATGTTACTTAATTTTTTTTTCCAATTCTGTTTATTTTAAAATTTTGATGTATTCGTCTCCATACCTTGAAATTGAAAAAAGTAATTAGAATGAAAAGAGATAACAAACAAGGATTTTTTATTAATTCTAATTTCTGCTTATCAAAGAGAGACCCTTTTAAAACTATAAATAGTGAAATGGGTTGCAAATATAGCAATATTTTACTATAATATATATTCTTTATGTTAGTAATAATTACTCTTAGTAATTGAAATAAAGAAATACTCGTATTAGTGAGCTAGCACCATCTGTATATTAGTTACGATAGTTTAAACTAATACCAACAATATTTTTAAATAATGAAACGTTAAAATTCTTACTGTTTAATCGTCGATTATTTACTTTCAACTCTTATGACGGACAACTAGTGTCGTCTGTATGATATTGTACCTTACCCTCCCCTAAATATTTCACCGTTGTATGTGATAAAATAGATATAAGTATTGGAAGCTTCATTCTGTTACAACTTGTGAATTAATAAATATCGAAGTGGAAGTACTGCCTAAACTCATTTGTACTTCTTAATACATTGTGTGTCTGAATAGGACGACGAAAATCTTGTTAAATTTACAGCCACCAAAACTCAGTTGTGTCCTTTCACGCCAAAACAAGTCCATTAACCTTGACTCCAACCTTTCAGAATATAATATACTCGTACTTCAGCAGTACTCGGGTCAGCGTCTTTGTCTTTACGATGCACAGGACCAATCTTGGGGGAAATGTTACTATTACATTGGAACAGATGGTGATAAATGTCACTTTTGTTTTCTATAACGTAGAGAGACATGAGGAGAAGTGACATCGTGATTGTTACGATTACATAGCCACGGCAAGAGAATATGCTGTCAGAAAGTTTTAGTAGAAACTGTTAAGCGTGATCTCTTTGTAAAAATATATAATTAACTGCAAATAGAAAAAATAATATAATTTTTACCACTAATATTTATGAATATTGTGCATATTTAATTAGTATCAGTTTTTACAGAGAAAATATAAATTCCCCTCTATAAAGTATTTTATATTTTTAAATATAGATACTAAAACCTTAGCTGTTAAATTGAGTTCGGCGATCCAATTACTTATTTGTCAAACGAGTTAAAATTGATTATTTTAAAGTTCATCTGATGCCGCTAAAGTTCCCTATTTTCCCGTAATCTCGAGTTATTTCTCCCTTTTATTCCTAAGACTTCAACAATTTCATAGTTTTCATTAGATGAACTTTCTTGTGAGTATTTAAATATCATTTATCTAATGGAATGTTTACCGTTAATTCACCATTTAATGTATATTAAGCTATAATTATATTTACTTCTATCATTTAATTACATTTACGATAAAAAAACTGTTTTTATTTTAGAGAAACATTTTAAAGTGTATATAAAAAATGTTGTTACTCTAACGTACTTTCATTAATATAAGAATTTTTTTTTTGTAGATCAAGTTATAAGTAAATAATGTCGTTGAATACTATTTATCTCTACTAATAATGTTATTATAATTCCAAAGTAAATAGTTTTGTTGTTCACAATAAATTACAGTCACCGAGACGGTGCTGATTATGATAGAATGTGCGAGCATTGCTGAGCTAAAACTATGCACAGTTGGACGAATTTATCGAATAAAAATAAATTGTATTTACTGGTAGCATATAATTATTTTTATAAATTACTACGAAACATTTTTAATAAAAACATCTTTTTTTAAAATTTGCATTCTTTAGTCTCGTTAACATAAGTGTTTAGGATCACAAACATATACATACATATATATGTATAAATTGTAGGGAAATAGCTTTTGATAATATCAAATATCTATATTAATATTATAATGCTGAAGAGTTTGTATTATATATTTATACTTTTGAAAATTGTAATTTTACAACCATGATACCCAATATATCAAAAATAATATAATATTCTGATATATTGTTTAGTAATTTAATCAAAAATGTACTATATTATACTTGAGAATTACTACTCTCAAGTCTTTAAGTATGTATTATGATTTCAGAGCTACAATAAATTAATACACATGAGCATTACAATATGACACTATTTCGTTCATTAATTTTGTTTGAAAGTCTTCAAAGCCAAATAAAAGTAACTTGACCAAACAGGTTTTAATCATTAAGAACCATTGTCGTTTTTAAAGGCAATTTATTATATATGTATTTCATCATTAATTTATATTGCTTCAATGCATTATGAGGTAAATTCATCTGAGGTTCAGGGAGCTTTGTTCAGACAAATGTACTCCATCGTCTAATGAGAGTTACAATCGTCCAATCATCGTCCAATCTTAGCTCATGTTATGGCAATTATTACTGAAGATGAAAAACTTTTAACATTTAATTTAATCTTAATTTTCAATATTAACTATTACTTAAAATGATATTAATGTGAAACTCAATAATTCAAATTATGAAATCTGAACAATCGTAATCATAAAACTTAATATCTGCATTGAATTCGTTAGGTGTTAAAAACATTAATCATTACAAAATTATAATAGGATTTGATTACACTCAATATAAACATTGTGTTCATATATTCAAAGGGATCGGTAAACAGTAAGTACATACATACATATACATATATGTATTAAACAATAGTAGATAAATGGTTATAACGACAAATAATTTTATTTAACGAATGTCAGTAATTTAAAATATTGTTAATTGTCATATGACAAATAACAATATTTTAAGTCATCAATATAAGTAATTACTACTTATTCATTACTATATATCGATGAATATGACCATAGCAGTTAAGACTTTTTGATTTAGGTTCTTAACCATCTTAGGACCATTTACTTTTTATAACCAGAAATAGTAGTGGTCTGTTCACATAACATAAATTAGCATGAAATAATTTTTATCCTTGATGTTACTAAAACATTTGCGATACTTTCTTCCAAATCTCACAAAATATATTTATGTGTTTTATTCTTCTTTCTATAATTTATTACTTGGACACAAACTTCATCAATTAATTATAGAAATATTAATGTACATAAGGTTCCGTATAACACTTTCATACACAAAAATTTTAAAAATATTTTTGTCAAATAACACGAGGAAATGAAAAACTTAATTGTGATTTTATATGTGTTATTATCGTTAAATAAAATAAATTTTACTCAATATAATCAATGTCATTTACGACTTTTGTTTATATAAAATAGTTTGTTACTACTCATTCATTAAATTGATAAAAACTTAGTACTCTAAATAAAAATAACTATGAATGTTATTTCACTTTATTAGAAATTCTTCGCAAAAACACACTCAAATATAATTTTACTTTCGGATTTAACTCGCTTGTTTTATTATTTTTGCATTTTATCCGACGTTTCGATTACTTTAATCTCCTCTCCAGTGGTCACCGACGCTGAAATATAGGCCTTTACAGTCTACAATTTTATAGTTTAAATATACTTTAAGCACTAAACATTCTTTTAAATCCAAGAAAATATATGTGATGTTGTATTAAGCGTTTAATATTTTGTGATTTATGTAGCTTCAGTTACAAAAGTCGCGTTAAGATCTGTCTTAAGGACAACATTACATTGTTACAATTTCCACAAAGTTCATTATATTAAAGGGTCTTTTCAGTAACTTCCCTTTAATGAAACAAATTATACGTCACGAAGATATCGATTCGGATAACAAAAGACCAAAAAGAAGGTATGAAAAGTTTAGAAATTATTACTCAATTAAATTAAAGCAAGCAATATGCATGTAGGTCTCAGGCCCTTTCCAATGTATTTCTCAGAAATCCGTTGTCTCAAGATTTTCTCTCGTCTTACATTGTCAAGTGTATTTATTAGGTTAACATGTAAAAGAAAGGTAATCATGTACAGAAGCTACACAAGAGCCTTAAGATTTAATATTGTTAATTGTTATACATGTATATATATTTAATTTATTAATTATTTTCACTTCTGATAATATAAATAATGAAATAAGAATCAATCACGCATTTCATTATTCATTTAATCACGCATTTTAGGATTCCTACAATAAAATAATCCTACAACCAATAAGCAGTAGTGGAACTTATAAAAGAAATGTTTTAATACTTCATGTAACAAATAAATATAAGGAGCTAAAAATCTAAATGATTATCGTCAGCCGAATATAATAATTACAAGTTTCCCTTATTAATCATTTTGCATTCATGGAAACATCTAATTACTTAACTACGCATACATAAATAATTAAATTTAAATAAATAAAATGTAACATGGTTAATGTTGAAAACGTTATCAAATTCAAACGACCCTCTAACGTTGAGTTTAATTTACTCACAAACAGCTTTAGGGGTTCTAAGCAAACCATATTTGTATATTTGTTACATTTATAACGAATAAGCGATTAAATTTCAAATTACTGTCGTTCTTTAATTAAGATATACAGCTGTTAATACTCTTAGTTATTTATATGAAGTATTTGAGTTATTTTTTTCAAGAAAGTATTCAAATGTATGATGCCTCCTTGCTCGTACTTTAAGTAATACGACGGTAGCAGACAAGTATATGTATAGCGTGATATTAAGCGCTCATGCTTTTCTCTGGATTCATCCCAAAAAAGGATATTACGAACAGTTGTCGAGTCTTTAGGATATTTGTATAACAAGTAAAATATTCGACGTAAGTAGCTAAGACCTGTATCTGATTCATCATTCAGTATCTATAATCATTTCAATGAAAATGGAATATTAAGTAAAAATAATTGAAATATATTGTTTTCTTTTTAATTGTAGTATTTTTATAATAGTTATAGTAAAAACCATTGAGATAAGAAGTTGAAAACATTCTATACATTGATTGGTTTGCCTTATTGGAGTTAAATCTATTAAAATAAATATATTGCGAGTATTTAAGAAACAAACAATCAAACATCCAACTTTAAGCAATAAGCAGACTAGTTAAATAATTAATTTTAATTAATTAACAAAAGTTAATTCTACAGTTTCATTGTTTGTTTACTTTTTGTGACATGAAATTTAATGATTAGTTACATGTTTATTATAAACAAATATGAATTTTGTAATACAATACATCAATAATTACTTAAATAAGATTGCTAAATGAAATTATGTAAGTAAACCATTAAAAAATATATATACACAAATAACTCATTCAATTCATTAAAATTAAATAAGTAGTAAACAATATCGCACTAAACAATTATCAAATATATTTTCAAAGAATTGTCGTTACTCAGAGTTCTTAATAAAGAATTTGTTGTAACAAATCGTTAAGAAAATATGTATATGTCACCTTTTAAAAACGTCATTCACTCAATAATTCGTGTTCATTAATTTTCTTTCTAATCATGATACATATAATCAATTATAAATGACACTTAAGGTTCATGATCTTAGAAATTATTAAGTGGGTATACTTAATTGCAATACAACATTGAATTTATTAGCAATATCGTCACTTTATGAAAAAACTACTAGACGGACATTTTAATCGACGATTGTAGTTGATATTACGCGAGTTTCATAATTGAAGCAAATGTTTTAAAATTGTAAATTTCATAAATATCATTTTTGTCTCATTATCCTGGCATTGATTGTACCACAGTAAAAGTCTAGTTGTGTTTATTTCAAAAATGGACATTTGTTCTAAAAATAATCAGACTTCATAACCACCTAGTTGACCCATACACCAACCTCGAGCTGAAATCAATTATTACAGTTATAATATTACCTAATTTTTAAGATATCAGTCATTTCGAATAATTTGAAAGAAAGAATTTCTATGGATTACTTTGTATTTTAATAGTAAAAGTGAAATTAATTCATTATTGAATGTTTTTTTTTAAGTTTACATTAAATTAAGATACCTTAATTATCTAAAAAAAATATTATTAAATCTGAGTAGTATGGTATAGTTCGTTAGACTTAAGCTGAGCTTTGCATTTGTGTGAGTAAAAGTAATTTTTTTGAATAGGTACATAACATAAGTGCTAGATCTATTCTAGATTAAAAATAAAATAAGCAAAACTTATAAAAGACCAAATGGAAATATTATGGAATAAATATATAAAGTAATAAAAATGTTGAAAAAACAATACAAATTTTCTTCACTTGACATTGCGTTTTCAACATTTGATGTTGCTACCATTACAAAGGGTGACGTGAGGAAATTGCGGAGTAACAGTAGTATAAACCTGTCAAAACCAGAAAAGAACGTAGCATTCAAAAATTTGACATCACACCTACACTATCCATGTGCACTCACACAAATACAAAGCTCAGCTTAAATCAAACGCAATATAAAATGAATCTGTAACATAACACGAGGTTTTCAAATAACTATTATACTTCTGGGTAATGGAACTTGTATTTGTAAAATATCTGCATATTATTTAAAAGACATACATTCCTCAGGTAAAGACTAACTACGTTGTTTGTATGAGCACACTCGTATTTGTATTTACTCTTAGTTTTGTTTGTGTTGTCACGTATAAGCTCCAAGTACCTCGTAATTTATGATTGTTATATTACGTTTCGCCGTGATTAAATAGACGTACTTATGTATATTCAAACTCGAAATCGTTCATACTTATTTCATCTGGATATGGGAAACTATAATAATCAAACCTGGAAAGAACTTTAAACTTTTTGATTTATTTTGTTTCATTTCATAGTCGATCAATATCATGTTCATCTAATGAGATCTAAGATTTTCGCGAGTACACATTTAAATGAAACTAATATTTTCGGATTTTACTTCGCGTTTTATTTTAGAAACTACATACTCCCGACGTTTCGGCTACTTTTCAGCAACTGTGATCACGGGCAGACGAGATGTGAGTGTCTGTCAGTTGGTCTGGTCATTTTATCTCCTACCGCCATCGATTTCTTAATTGTCTTGCGTACCGCTCTGCTCCGCTTCGGATGCGGACAGACAAAGAGAAGCATCGGTACAAGGGTTAAGGAACATATTTCAGACGTCAGGAATAGGCGCGCGTCGAAGTCAGCAGTGTGCGAAC